CGTCAGTGATGACGTGTAGCCCAGTGCCGACGTGATCGAGAAGGTATCGACCATGCCAATCGTCTTGTAGTTTTGCCACTGCAACTGGAACCGCGTAATGCTGTAGCGACGCCAGAGAGCCACTTCGTCATCAACAGAATTGACGTTGAGTTTGAGATTCGAGAGCCACTGTTGACCACGCTGCGAAGTCTGCAGGTGCAACACAAAACCAACCTCAAACGAGACACCCCAGCAGCGGTCCCACGCGGCCCAGTCACGAACGTTGCGAAGCGGAATCTCCAAGTAGACGGCGCCATTGGCCATCTGAGAGGCAACACATCGCGCTTGACGCTTGGTGGTGCTGGCCATGGCCCAATGTCGATCCAAGTCGAGCCAGCAGTACTGCGTGAACATCCACGGCAGCATGCACGGGTTCATGTCTCGAAGGCCTTGCGCAAAACGAGCCAGCGGTATGCTGGTGTCCAGGATCTGACGCCGGGGAGCGTGTGCACTCCAGGCAATCGACGCCATCGAGTCATTGTAGAGCTGCGAAATGTCGGCCAGCGCGGGGCTGCTCAAGTCAAGCGTCATATTGGTTGAGATGAGAAGCTGCTGGTTGATGGCATTAGCCAAGAAGGCGTGCATGCCGGTGCTGTTGAAGCCCGTCCAGCCAAAGTCGTTGGCCAAGAAGGTTTGGGCCACCGCGAGGAAGGCGATGTTGGAAGCGAGGCTGAACGTGATGTACAGAATACCACCAAGTAGAATCATTTGCTTGTATCGTAGTTGGAGCACATTGTATAGCGTCATTGTCGATGATGCCATGTCCGACAGCCGATGCAAGCCTGTCCAAGCCACGTTGCTCTTGGGTCCTGGTGTCGACGGCAGCCCAAGCAAGGACCTCGGCACCATATCCGTCTTGACAAAGACCCAGAGCTTGGTGTCAAAGGTGATACCGCGGCGCGGCATGCGAAGGACGCCGACCATGGCCGCTGTCACAACGTTGTTGGGTGCGCGCACTCGCTCCTTCCGGTTCATAAAGGCAATCGCTGCCGAGTTGAGCAAGAGCGACGGCGTCTCTTCCGCATCCCTCAATACGGTCCACAGTCGCACAACGAGGTAGCTGCCACACGCTGCAGTGACCAGCCCTGCGACGTTGGTGCAGACACGATCAAAGCGACCAATAACAATGTGGCCACTCGTACAATAGAGCACCCGGTCCATATTTTGAGACGAGCAGCTACGCTCCAGAGTCACCGAGACTTGGACTGGCGCCGCAATGTCCAAAACCACGAGAAAGAGCCACCCGAACACCAGACTATACCGTGCGTAGCTCGCGGTATACGGCGACGTCAGCGGATGACCCATCTCATGGAACACAGAGAGGATCCACGTCGCTTCGCTCGACAAGAGACACGTGGCGAGCAGCGATCGGTGGCGGCCCAAATCAAACTGCGAGCCAAAGGCTGTCGCCTCGGACTGCGGCACGGCCGACGACAAACAGAGCAGCGCGGCGCCTCCACGGGCCATCAAAAGCCCGCGGTTGAGCCACGTCGCGCTCACAAGATGGCTCCAGTGTCGCCATGGCGTGTGCGATGGTCGGTGGCAGCACAACCAAAGACAAAGCAGCAAGAGTGCCAGGCTCACCAAGACCATGGTCACCGCGTTACTGCAGTACCAGAGATACGTCCCCAGACTCGATGGGAGTGCATACGGAGGCAAGGGCTTTGGTGTTGCAGCCGATGTCATGAGTGTAAAGGATGCGACGTCCCCTTCAAAGGAAACGACCTCGCGCGTCTGCATCGCCCACTCGTAAACGCTCAGCCAGCCAAACAACGCAAACGAAGCCTCGAGGAGGCGCTGCGTCTCAACCACCGGCGACGAATTGCGACCGACAAACTGCATGAGCTGCAGTGGCGGAAGCGACGACGGCGGCAATCCAAGCTCCGAGAGCGACGGAACAAGTAATACCGCAGCCTCGACAGTGCGCAGTGCTTGCACACAGCCATGCACCTCGGCGATCGGCAGAAGCGCACAGATGGAAGCGGTGGCGTTGACGTCACCAAGCATCGTCCAGGCAAAGAGACCTGCGATCGGCGACAGCGAGTACGTGAGCGCCTTTTGCGTTCCACACGAGTCGTCAAAGCTGAACGACTCTTGCACGAACGGAAGGCCGACGCCAAAGCCACACGTGGGGTTGCCGCCGTAGAAGAAAAGATTCGGGTCTTGCCATTGCAGCGGTGTCGGGTGCAGCTCTAGCGTGCCGATGGCATCCAGTGCCGACACTAGCGCTGCGCTGGACGCGAGGTGGGCCAACAAAAGCGACCGAAACGTCTGCACGATCGAGAGCACTGCGCTCGGCACGGGGACCCAGAGCACATCAATGTTGTCGAGGGGGCCAATGTCGTTGTGCAACGCTTGAAATGCCGGAGGTAGGGGCCAGCACACGAGGACGGCTTCAAGGAGACCTGGGCTCACGTCTCCAACAAAGGTGCTGGCGTTCTGCACGAGGCTTTGGTTGCCGCTGGGGATGTTGAGGTCCGTCTGGAGCCCGCCGTACATGTAGTCGGTGGTCCATCGGACACCGCGGCTCGCCACCGGAATGTCCTTGATCTCAAAAGCAATGACGTGACCGAGCGCGTTCTCAATCTGAATAACGTCGTGGAGACCGATCTGGTAGGCGTTGGTGTACTGCATCACAAAGTGAGCCAGACCCGCGTCCAACCAGAGGTGGACTTCGCTGTCCAGATCCAGCATCTGGTGCGTCGCAAGGTATGCGAGAAAGGCGGGGCCATCCGCCGACGAACCAGCGACACCGTCCCCGATGCGCTGCGTAAACAACCCTTGCGTGACGTCGACCCACGCGTTAAAGTCAATGTTGCGCAGCACGGACTCGAGGTACACGGCGCCATTCGCGCCGTAGCGGTCGCGGCAGCGCTCTTGGCGTGCGAGTGTGTGGGCCATAGCCCAGCGCCGTTCCCAGTCGACCCAGCAGTACTGCGCACCCATCATCGCCACGTAAACCAAATCGAGATGTCGTAGCCCGTCCACTGCGTCTTGGAGTGTCGTGAGCGCTTCGTACCGCAGAAAGCGCGTGTACGCACTGTTGCTGCCGACAGCGTCGTGCTTGGAGAGACCAGACGACGGTGCAAAGAGATCCAAGGTCGTTTGGCTGCTCACCTGTGGTAGCTGGAGATTGATCACATTGGCTAGAGCTAGCGCCGTCGAGTCCAACTGGAACCAGAGAAAGTCGTTGGCGAGATAGTCGGCCATCGCAACGAGCCCGCCGATCGTGGCTGCTATCGACGTGAGCACATACAGGAGGCCTGCCATCGTGCTCCATCGTGGTGTGTGCTTCTGGCTCGAGCCCGCAACGAACGACGGTGCAATGATCGCGTTGTCCGGTCCGCGAGCCGCCGGTGCGACGCGAAACATTGGTATTTGCGAAATGGACTTAGCTGAAACTGGTCAGTAGTTTCATTGGCATCGACTGGCGAGCGCGGGAAACCCCACTGGGAAGCCCAGCGTGTCAGACGCCACACGACAATTCAGACCTCGCGCGAGCTGGTCGTCCTTGCAGAATGGAGAGACGGAATAGATGAAAGATTTATGCTTAAAGTGGTCGTAAGAGCCAGACCCGCAGTTTGTCGAGCAGCTGAAAGAACCAGCCCCATATCGGACTCACGTACGCGAGTTGCACCCAGCTTTGGACGAAGCTCGGGAGCGTCGCCCACACCGAGTAGTGCGGGTACTTGGTCGCAAAGATGTGGCATACGAGCGAGAGCGTGTAGAGAAGAATCGACAAGTGGAACGCATGCGACGCGGTCTCATGCAGCGTCTTGAGCGAGAGCGGCGATGCGGTATGCACAGCGCTGAAAGGGCTCACGCTGCCAGTCGCGGCGGTTCGCGCCGGCTTGTGCTCGAGGAGCTTGATGAGGCAGTAGGCGATGACACTGTTGAGGAAGATCACGATGAGCGCTTCGCCGAGGTACTGCTGGTGCAAGTGCGGGTGGAACCACGGCACACGCTCGCCCGGTGGGAGCGGTGGCAGCGCCGTCGTCGCCGAAAAGACAAGCCCGCCGACCGAGATACCATAGATCCCCTACGCGCAACACCGAGCTATGAGCTGCAACACATATCTTCGCGCGGCCCGCAAGTTGCCGCAGTCTGTACCATGGACACAGCAAACCAAAACTGCCGGCTCTGCACGAGCTCCAAAAGCGACGCCAAGTGCGTGCACATGTAGTGCGCCGACCCGCTGAACGCGAGCGCCAGGATCGACGAAATCGTAAACGTCCGCCGAAAGTAGACGGGCCGCGGAATGTCAGTTGCGTGCACGACGTTGCAGTACTCGATGATGCTGGCGGCGTTGGGAACTGTGTTTGTGGCGCTATCGTATCGGCGTCACGTCGTGAGAGACGGGCTCGACTTGCTACCTGAGGCGCACCGTGCCGTCCCGCGCATCGTTCTCCTTGGGCTCCAAGTACCCGAGCAGTGGCACTAGTCAGGCTGGCATCTCGCTTGCTGCAGTCGGCTCGTACCGTTCTTGATCTTGTGCTGAATGAAAAAGTCGCGGATGCGGTCGGCATCGAGGATGACAAAGTACAATGGCGACGCGTTCCGGCGACGCTCGCGATGCTGCGCATAGTGGCCGGCAGCGATCTTGAACTCGTCCTCGAGCGGCCTAATGCGCGTCATGAGCGCCAGCAGCGAGACGACGAGCGGTCACCGGCACATGTCGCACTTGTACGAGGACGCCGCCGCCTAACGCAAACCATGATGCGCCTCGGGTGGCTGCACATGCGCACCGTGACGAGCACGACGAGGCCGTAGGGTCTCGACGGCTGCAAGACGAAGCGGTGGTAGTCGTGCTGGCCCCAGTGCAGCACACGCGACGACTTGGCCGTGAGGGCCTCGAGCGCGATGCTCTGCGGATCGTCCACGTCGAGGTGCGTCGGCGTCGCGAGCCGCGGAAGCTCGAGGAGCAGGAGGAAGCACAGCGTCCAGGACACGACGAGCGGCCACCAGCGCCGTCCCATCGCAGCCGTTGTGGATCTGCCCGAGATTAAATAGTGTACTACATCGCAGTTACGTCGCACGGTCGCCTTCACATCCTTAGAGAAGAGCCCCTGCCAAGAAACAAGCCGAATATGGATGTAGGCGTGTGCTAGTGCAACGCAGCGTCATACGCGTGGTTGCGGCAGGGCGAGCTGGCAGGTGTCGTGGCGCGGACGTCGCTCGTGCTGCCACGTCATGAAGAGCGCTCCGACGTTTACGAGCTCATAGCGCTTGCTAACTACATAAAGAAGCATGTAGCATAGGCGAAGGTGTGGTGGTGTTCATGGCAGAGGGCTGTCATTGCGGAGACGGCCGCGAGCTGTGGCGCTACGCCGGGGACGTCGCATGCGCAGAGATCCTAAAATAGTGTGCGACAGCTATCGGTTCGGGTTTTGAACCGGTTTTTTACGAACCGCAGACGCTGATTGGTGGACAGTATTTAAAAAATCGCATCCAAGAGAAAAAATAACTTGCATTTTGTATCAGATTCGAATGGTGTATAGGTTAATAGAATAAAGCGCGATTCCCGGGCAATATATATTACCAAAATCGTGGGATGTTTGGGCGCCGCCAACCAACGCAGCCAGCGCCGGCCGCCCATGCGACGCGGAAGAGCTCGGTCCATGTACCCTCGTCTTCGTCCTCCAAGGGCGTCGAGAAGATGGGCCGCTCCTTGTCCGACTCGTTCGAGCGGCGCGGAACCGCGGTCCTCTCGCCGCGCAAGCTGCACCGGAAGAACTCGATGGACGTCCAGCCCGCGGCCACCATCTTTGAGAACGGCGTGTACACGCACGAGGTCGTCGAGACGATTGGGTCGGACGCCTCCGACACGCCGAGCGCACCGAGCCTGCGGCAGCTCGTGCAGCAGAAGCACGTGCCCGTGGCCTTTGCCAGCTTTCCGTGGATGGAGCACGTCATTGGTCTCTACACCTTTGTCTGCGCCGACCGCCTCATCGTGTGGAACTCGCATGCGCTGAACCGCGCGCTGTCACTACCGGAAACCATCTACCTCGAGTACCCGCGCGACCTCGGCGCGTTTGCGACGCAGCATGCGCGCACGATCGTCTCGACGCATGCGACCGAGTACAGCTCGTCCAAGGTCGCCATCACAGCGACGCTCTTCACGGCCGACGGCTCGGTCGTCGTGTGGCATGACATCCAGTCCTCGACGCCGCCCTCGTACACACGATTGGCACTGCAAGACGGCGAGCACCTCGTGCATGTCTCGGGGCGGTCCTTCCCGCTCTATGGCGCAACCTCGTCCGGTCGCATCTTCGAAGTGACGCTCGAAGATCGCCGCGTGCACGCCCGCAGTCTTGCGTCGCACGCGAACGGCAGTGTCTTTTCCGGTCTCTTTCGGCTCTTCTCGTCCAAGACGCCGTCGCCGATCTTGCTCACAAAGGCGCTGCCATCGTCGTCCGAGATGCTCGTGCTGCACGTCGACTCGACGCTCGAGCGGCTCGCCATGACGCCAAGTGGCCTGGAAGACCAGTGGCGCTTTGAGATGGCGTCGTTCATGTACAACTACTTTTCCCAACACGAACACGAAGTCCTCGGCTACGCGCGCTGCCTCGACATGCCGCTGGCGACACCGAGCTCGTTTACGATGCTCATTGGCTTCCAAGCCGCGTCCGGCGTCGTGCTCTACCTCTTTGAATTCACGGCGACGCTCGCCGAGACGCCGCAGTTTCTCCGCTGCTTGCGCCTCGGTACGCCAGAGAGCACCGACATGGACCGTATGACGTGCCATGCGATTGACGCCAATAGCCTCTACGTCGTGACGCCGCAGGTCATCTATGCGGTCTCGATCCCGAGCGTCGGTGAGATGGCGCTCGAGCTGCTGCCGATTCCGACCTCTAGCTGGCTTGGCGCTGGCGGCCTGCGCGTGCGCGACACCAAGTCGGTCGTGTACCTCGAACTTGGTGCCGAGAGTGACGGCGACGTTCTTGACGGGACGCTGGGCCGCGTGACCAACTACAACTGGCAGCTGCCGTTGACGCCGAATGCGCCGCCGCCCAAGCGCCTCAAGACCGACCCGCGACAGCTCTTTTCAAGCTCGAACGTCGACGAGTGGTGCACGGTGCTCTTGGAGCAGTTTCAGCAATCGTCGTGCCACTTAGAGCTCGTCGCCAAGAGCGATCAAAGCCGCCAGGCGTTCCATCGCGCGGTCTTGGCGCTCGACAGCGATATTTTGGACGCCAAGCCCTCGACGGGCCTCCGCTGGGGCCAAGACGCCCATGCGCTCACGCCGCAGCTTGTCAAGTACCAGCTCCAGGAGAAGGCGACGCGCCACGCGTCCTTCAAGTCGTTCTTGTCGACGCACCCGGACGAGCTCGCGTCGTCGTTGCCGCCGCATGTGCGCGCCGAGCTCGACGCGCGCGACGCCAAGCTCCACGTTGCCATGACGCTCTGCGCGCTGCAAACGAGCGACGACCCGCGCCTCGAGCGCGTGCTTGGCCTCGCCATGCAGCGCACGGTGCAGTCGCGCGGGTACACGCCCGAAGAGCTTGCGGCTTCGGGCTACTCGGCGTTCGACATGTTTTACTGCGACCTGACGCTGTTTGACGACCTCTTTGTGCACTTGTTTGCGGACGACGAGTACGTGTGCGACCGCCTTTGCCTGCTGACGCGCCTCCTCGACGCCGCGCACACGTACGTGGCCCAGCACGGTTTGAGCAAGGCCGTGTGGGCGGTCGCGCCGGCAGTGCGCGATACGATGCGCCGCCTCTTGCAAGCAGCCCTCGAACAGTCGAGCGACGAGGCCAATGTGCTATTGGGCGTCGAGCTCGCGACGGCGACGCTGGTGCCGGCCATGGACGACGATGCGGCCGAGAAGTCCGCGTGGCAACAGAGCGTCGCTGTACCGCTTGTGCGCGTGGCCAAGCACGCCGAGGCGACGATGGCGCTGGTCCGCGCGCTGGACTTTTACGAAGGCATGGCGTACCTTGGCGCGACCGAGTCGAGCGTGACGAACGCGCGGTTTGCACACTTTCTCTTCCAGTGGCACGCCGGCGAGGTCGCCAACCCGTGGGCGACGACCGACGAGAGCGGCCAGCGCCTCGAAGCCCTCTTTCAAATGCCGCGTGAGCTCCTCCCGGCATTGCACACGTTCCTTCTCGTACCTACGACTCTCTATCGCAAACCTAACGGCAGTGGCCTGCGTAGAACCATTCGACGCTCTCCAAGCACGCGTGGATCGTCGCCGTCGAGCTTGGCCAGTTCAACGAGATGGCGACGCAAGTGCTCCGCGAAGCCAAGGACGAGACGACGTCGCTACCCACCAAGAAGACACTGGCGAGCCTCGCAAAGCTTGCCGCGTACGCCCACGACGGCAGTGTCTCGGCAGCGAGCAACCACGAGGTCAGTAGCGTTGCCTGTTAGCATCAAGCACTGAGTTTTGTTTGTAGCTGGAGCGCATTCACATTCAAGAACTCATGTGCGCGGACGACGCGAGCGTGCCCATGTCGCCGCACGAGCTCATTGCGTCGTGCTTGGAGCCAGTGGGCGCCGACGGCGTCAACAACGAAGAGCGCGTGCTCATGGCGCTCGATGTGGTCGACTCGCTCGTCGACGACGCCAGCGCGATGACCGAGTGCCGCGCCCGAGTCTGGCACGCCGTCTTGTCGCACGATGCGGCGGCGTATGCGTCGATGGCCGACGACGTGGTTGGTCGCCCCAATGACGTGGCAATGGAAGCGCGCATGAAGACGCTTCTGGTCCACGCGGTCGCGCGCCGGTACGGGGCGAAGCCGCGATATGCGATGGCGACGCCGGCCGTTGTCGACGCGCTCCTCGCTGAGAACGACGAGCTTTGGCCGCGGGCCGTGAACCGAACGACGGTGCGGACGCTGATTTTGCAGACATTGGCGCTCGCGACGGCGTAGACGGCGATTCGTCGATCGTACGTGTTGCCTAAGATGATTATATACCGCTACTCCGAACTAGCTACAACCGCCTTGCTGCTTATTCGCCGTCGGCTTCGGCGAGGACCGAGCTGAACGAGAGGATCATGGCGCCAAAGGCCATGACGAGGAAGCGCGCGCTCGACTCCTGGAGGAGCTCGAAAACGAATATGCTACAGAATGCATGAGGAATATCAACGTCGGCGAACGACGTACCAGTCGGCCGCTAGGAGGAGGAGGAAGCCCATGACGCAGAGTGTTTGGGTAAAGATGTCTTCGCGGTGGCCGCCGACGCATGAGCAAGTGGCAAGGAACGCGCTGAGATCGGCGATGCCAATGCACACGGCAACGACGGTCGCATAGATGCCCTACGTTGGTGCATTGGCAGCTGCAAAATAGTGCTCCGGAACGTACCATCGTGTCGGGCAGCTGCGTCACAACCTCGGCGGCCGCGCGCCACACGAGGCAGATCGCAATCCACTTGGAGAGCGACTTGGTACTGCGGCCATGCAGCACGAGCACGAGGCAGATGAGCGGCGGGAGCGAGTTGGTCTTGGTCAAGATCGAAAGCACGAAGATCGACGACTCGGAGATCGCAAAGTCTAGATACAGCGCCACTTGATACCTTGATAGATAACGGTCGACGCACTCTTTTCGATTTCGGGCACAAGAACATTGGCGAGCATTGCGAGAAAGACGACGAGGAAACCCACGAAGCGGTACAGCCAGCCGCGCTGCCGCAGCGCGTCAATGACCTTGGAGAGGTTGTCGTACTCGCCGCTCGAGATGGCTTGGATCTGCTGTGCGACCGCTTCCTTGTTGAAAATGTCGTTCTCGTCGTCGGCGTCGTTGGCCGAGTCGGATGCTGTAGCTATATGCCGAGGACGATAATGAGCAAGAGGCAAGACGCAGTGGCGTACGCTTTGAAGGAAGTCCATGGGCGACAGGTGCGTCCGCAAAGATGTTTTCGACCACCTCTTGGACCGTGGGCACCTCGTGGACCGGAGCTGGCGTCGCTTTGACAGGCGTCTCCACCTGCGGCGCCGATACCTCAACAGGCGCGACGGGCTTGGACTCTTCCGATACGACCGATGCGTTGAGGACTACCGAGGCCTCCGAGGCCGCTGGTGTCTCAACCGGCGCGCGCTTCTTGCGCTCGCGATGCACCGAGTTGCCACGCGACTTGGAGCGCCCACGAGGCGACGTGACAGGATCTTTCTTGGAGACGCTGCGGCTACGTGCGCGCGACGGACTCTTGGACTTGGCACTCCGGGATCGGCCACGAGGCTTAGGCTCCGCCTGAAGCTGGCTTTCCGCCTCGGCCGAGCCCTCGCTGGGCGTGCTCGTGTCCTTGGCATCCTTCATCATGCGCTCTAGACACGGCCATGAGTGTTTTCAGTAGCGCGCATGGCATGCAGGTACCGTAGGCGCGGATGTGCTCAAAGTGGCCGTCCTGGCGAAGGTCGATGCGGCTTTCCCTACGTCGCCATCATGGTCATGCTGCATGTCCTTCGGCGCCGCTCGACGTACCACGTGTCATGCTCGGGGCCATGGCCTTCCCAGCGGACGAGGTAATGGACGCGGCCGCGCTCTGTCTTGCGGCCCATGATGCGCTCGATCGAAGTCGCCATGCTGCGATGATGTCGTTCCCACCAAGTATGGAGGACGTTGGTCGGCATTAGGACGGCGGTCATTTTTATTCCATCTCATACAAACAACAAGCTTACACAAATATTTTTATTCAAGCGCCCACCACGTGGATGGTTTTACGTTATCCGGTTATATCCGGATAAAAAACGCGCGGGCTTTCCGCGCGCTTTTACGTTCAAATCGCAGTCTAGTCGGAAGCGACTAACTTGAATGTATTGGCGAGTGCTCTTTGATGCATGCGTACTCGCCATTAGTAGAGACCACGCCGCCATTGCCCACCCACAGTCAAACGCGTGACATCGCTATCTCCTCAGCGTTGATACCGACACCGCGTCCTTGACTGAGACAGCAAGTCGCACGTCCCTTGGGCGACTGCTGCCAACTGCAAGGGACCTGCTCGGAGCTCTGCTATCCCACAAAGAATCGCTGCCTTCTCGAGTTGTAGTTAATATTGATCGAGAGCACTCCTACCATATACCCTAATAGTGTCGTCGAATGCCAAGCTTTACTGGCCCTGGCGCTGGCGCGGCGCGCACTTGACAATGTCGTCGACGCGCAAGATCATTTCCGCGGCTTCGGCGGCCGAGAAGAGCACCTGCATCTTGCTCTTGTATGCTTCCCGAATGCCAAGTGTGTCCATGTTGCCAACGCTGCCGTTCCGCATGTCGAGGCCCGCGAGGTGGTCGCCGGCGACGTGCGCCGCACGGAGCTGCGTCACGAGCTCCGAGCTGTCGTAGCCGCCGTTGTCGGCAATGATGGCCGGAATTTGGCGCAGCGCGCGCGCAAACGCCTCCATGGCCAGCGACTTCTTGCCGGGGATCGAAATGGCCTTTTCGTCAATCGCTTGCGCCATGAGGATCTCTGTGCAGCCGCCGCCCATGACGACGCGCGTGTGCTTGACCGTCTGCGAGAGGACCGCGAGCGCGTCGTGGAGCGAGCGCTCGGCCTCCTCAAGGAGATGCGAACTCGCGCCACGCAGCACGACGCTGCACGCGAGGCCCGTCTTGACGCCCGAGAAACGAATCACACGGTCCTCGCCAATCATGACTTCCTCAATGAGCTTGCACTCGCCGAGCGAGACGAGCTCCGGGTGCTCGAACGTCGACGTGATCTCGCCGCCCGTGACCGCGGCCAAGCGCTCAATGCCGTCAAAGTCGGCGTGTTCGATGGCCATGATGCCCTTCTCCGTAAAGATCTACGTGCAATGCATGAGCGTCGTCATCGTCACGACACGAGGTAGAGGATACCTGCTCCGGGTAGTTGTAGATGAGCTGACGGTTGATAAAGCAGTTGATGCCAAAGTTGGCGATCTTCTCGCACTTGGCGCGCATGCGCTTCTTCTCGGCCTCTTCAATGCTCGCGACCTTGTCCATTGAGTCGACCTTGACGCGCGCGCCGTAGATCTTGATCTTGTCCGTGTCCATGCCCGTGTTGGCGATGAGGATCTTGGCGTTCTCAATGCGCTTGGGCTGGCCGACGCCAATGTGCTTGTTGAGGATGAAGCCTTCCTCGAGGTACGAGTCCTTCAAGCTGCCGCCCTGCTTCTTGATGATCTGAATGTGGTCCAAATTGTTGGAGCCCTTCAAGCGAAGGACCGCGTTCACGGCAAGCTCGGCTAATCGCAACGAGATGAGCTCCATGACGTCGTCAACGAGATATTCGTACCAAAGTACTCCTTCGAGTCCGTAAGGAGCTTGGAGCTGAGCGTCGTGCGAGCAATGTTGAGGAGGTCCTCGCGGAACTTTTCGGGGTTGCCCGAGTGGTCGGCCGCGGACGCTTCCAACGCCTGGTGGGCCGTGCTCAAGGCAATGCGCCAGCCTTCGATGATCGTCTGCGGGTGGATGCGCTGCTCAATCAGCTTCTCGGCTTCGCGAAGGAGCTCGCCGCAGAGGACAGCCACACTAGCGCGGGTATGAGCATCGATGACACATCATCGTCGCCAGCGCACCTCGTGGTGCCATCGCCGACTTCGTCGTCCTGCGTCTTGGCAATGTCGACCAAGACCTTGGCGGCCGCGTTATCCACGTAGACGCTCTTGAGGATCGTCGCGCCATCGTTCGTGACCGAAATGGACTTGTCGGGGCCGCCGACTGACTGCAGAATCTTGTCCATGCCCTTGGGGCCGAGCGTCGTCTTGACCATGTCGGCGATCGCAATCGCGCCGACGAACGAGGCCAGGCGAGCGTTCTCGCCCTACACATATCGAGCGTCAACCTCCGCCATCCAGCGCCATGCTCCTCGCACCTTCTCGACTTGGGATTCCGGGTTCAGCACCGAGTGTTGCATTCTGTTCTTCCTGTGGCAATTAGATGATCAGTGTGGTGGAGCGCAGGCCGTATACACCGCAGCAAGTCCCCCCAAAGGCGGCGCGTCTTTTTATTCCATTGCATACAAATCACAAGGTATTTATTTAAATCGTGCCACCACCATGCTTTTTTGGGGTCCATTCCATATTTTAAATATCGTTTTCACGTCCCTCAAGCTTGCATATTGTATGTGAAGCGAATGAAAACTGATTTAAATTGTAGACTATTTCGGGGCAGTCCCTTCGTTTTGCCCAAGGTTTTTCCTTTTTACCCAATCACAGCGCAGCGATCTTTCACGTGAAATAGTGTTTAACTGAGCTGACCCGCGCGCACCTTTCAAACCCGCCATTAAACTGCGCGAGGACATACGTCTAAAGCCATAGCGCACTCTCTACATACCTAGAAAGCTCTAGGGTACGAGGCATATGTACGAGCGACATGGTTTGGATTTGCAATGCTTTGCACGCTCGGTTCTGCCGAAATAGCTAACACTATTTATTGTCGTGTCTTGATAAAAGCTCACACAAAGTACGCGGTAGCACAGAGCCGCCCGCAACCTCGAGCCTAAACAGCACAACGCTTAGTGGGAAGCACGCGGTGATAAAGGCATCTATTCTTGCAGCTCCGTGCTACTGGCGCATCGTCGGTAAACCCGTCAAACGCAAATAGTGTGCCTACAGCAGCCAATGTGGCCGAATTTTAGCCAATGAGCGTGTCGAAAATCTCAATGCATTTTGTCCAGTTGTTCCAAAACAGCATTGGCCGTGGAGTAGGAAGACGATGATGCTCTTGTCGCGTGTCCACGCCCGCGGGCCCTTGGCGTCCCTGACGCGCCAGGCGTCGACGTCGTCGCACCTGACCTTCCTTCAGCTGCAGCCGCGCTTGAAGGACGGCTCGCGCGAGTCGCGCCGCCTGCGCCGTGGCGGCCAGCTGCCCGGCATCCTCTACGGCGAAGGCTCAACCGGCGAGAAGACCAAGGTGCTCGTGACGATGGACCAGACGGACTTTGAGCGCGAGTACCGCAAGCTGCGCTCGTCGATGGCCAACCAGGTGTACGAGGTGTCGGTCGGCGAGAGCGCGCCGACGAAGGTGCTCTTGCGTGACATTACGCTGCACCCGGTGACGGACGTGCCGCTGACGGTCAACTTTCTCCGCTTCAAGCCCGGGCGCACGGTGCACATCCCGCTCGACTTTTTGAACCAGGAGGGCAGCCCGGGTCTCAAGCGCGGTGGCTACATCAACAACGTGCGCCACGACATTCCGTGCAAGGTCAACGCGGACGACATTCCGTCGACCTTGGACGTGGACGTCAACGGCATGCACGTCGGCGAGCGTATCTATTTGGAAAACATCACGTTCCCGGAGCACATTGAGCCGCTCGTGGCGCCGCGCGCCGTGATTGCGACGATTGCCGGCAAGCGCGGTCTCATCCCCAAGACGGAAGAAGAAGACGTCGAAGAAGTAGTGGAGGAAGAGGTCGAAGAAGACGACGAAGAGGAGTACCAGCCCGTCTTTTAAGACCGCGATTATGCCATAGAGACAGAAGAGATGAAGAGTGTAGTAAAGACAAACATAGTACTATGCATGCATGGTTGACTACGAGCGCGTGAAGAACGACGTGATGCGCGACGCCTCGCTCGTCGGCGCTTCGATGGGCTTGGCCTTGGGCTCGGCCGACCGGCTCGTTGCTGACGCCGCCGACGATTGCGGAAAGTCGTCGCGCAGCCAGTCCAAGCACCCCAGAGCGTGGATGGCTTGCAGGAGGTCCGAATCCTTGATCGTCTTGCGCTTGGAAATGAGCGCGCTGTCGTAGCCCTTCGCCGCAAGGAATTGAATAAAGAGCTCCTACGCCACCATCATGAGATGCAAGGATGTTGAGGCGGATGCGAACGGTAGCCTTGGCGATGGCGATCTGAGCGTCCTTGGAGACCTTGCCGACGTCCGGGTCCGCGGAGATGATGCGCTTGACCCGCGCTACATGCAAGGTTGCATGAAAAACGGAAGGACTCCCATGCCATGCGTACAGAGGGGCAGGATCAAGACGTCTTCTGCCGGTGGCGCCGCCGGCTTTTCCGGCGCCAGGTCTATTCCGCGGTCAATCATGTCTTGCTTGGCCGCAGTGTAGCGCTCCTTGTCCTTGAGGGCCAGCTGCACGTAGGGCTACGCAAGCACGGAGTCTAGCATCGTCGTCGAGCTCGATAGAGCGCTAACCTCCTTGTCTTCGGGCGTCAGCTCCTTCCACATGGTCCCGAGGACCTTTTGAATCGTCCCAATCGTCGCGCCAGGGTTCTCGGCCTTGGCCTGCGGGCGTTTGGCCGCGAGGAAGTGAAAATACGCCGACTGCGGCTTCACCAGCCCCTTCCCGCCTTCCTTCTACACAGAGACGAGGTCTTGCTCATGGCGACCAAAGGTTCATGTACCGGCGCCTCGCCTTGCGCTGCGGTTGTCTCGGCGTCCTCGGTCGGCGAGGTCATCCCCTCATCTTCCTTGGTCTCTTCCTCAGCGGTCCCGTCATCCTCTTCGTCCGATCGACTCCCCTTCTCTTCGACGTACGTCATCTCGTCGTTCGCCGTCACTCCCGTCATCTCGTCGTCGTCGACGTCCGACCGCTGGTTCGCCATCGTCCAGCGCCGCCCCGCCAAAAAATCTTTGGTCGATGCCACATCTACCATATTCAACTGGGTCGTATTTGTGGCATATGCCAATGTTAAGAATTTGGCGCCAAGCGCCCACTAGATTCAGTGCAAGACCTGACAGGCGGTCGACTCGCCCCGTGATGGTCAGGCACGCATGACAATATTGTCGTATTGTTCAACTACAGTGTACTGCACCTAAACACAAGGCAGTTTGCCTTGAACGGTTCTTCGATAGTAACCTCAGCGCCAGAGCTCTTGCCGCTCTCCTCAAGCTTCCATGGCGAGCAAGACGGTGGTTTCAACGTGCGTCGTTGGCGCTAACACAAGAAGTATCTGCGACTGCGCACGACACCAGGTCGACTGCAGGCCGCGCCAAGTACAAGCACTCTGCAAGCCGGAACTGGCACACGATCCCGAGGCACAAGCACGATTGAACTAGCTCCGTCGTATCGTCCTGCCTCATAAAGTTAGTAGCTCCTTAATGACATATTATTGGTTCCATAGCCATATGTCTAGTTGGGTGTATTTGCTAATCGATGGCCCTCCCCTGAAACCATCTAACTAACGTTAGCGTACGTCACTGGACGACGAGCAGTTTCGCGACCAATGGCCAAGGTCGGCATCGCGTGGTCGCCCGCCGCCCCGCCGCGACCTTCAATGTGGGCGCATCTTCCCGAGTGCTGCGGTATCCTCTACGTTCTCACGTCCGTCTTTCTCAGCGTCTATGGCCTCACCCTTCTCTCGTCGTACACCCAAAACGACCTCTTCTGGCCCGACTATGCGACGCGCAACACGTCACGTACGCTCACCGACGTGCTCAACGGGCAGCTGCGGCTCCAGTCGTCGCTTCCACCGACCGACGTGACGTCCCTTACGTTTGTGCTCTCGTCGGATGCAGCAGGATCGCCCCACACGTATGCGCGTCAGCTCTTGTACCACGAGCTCACAACACCGATGGACGCGATTCGCGGGTTGCGCATTCTGCTGCCGGTGCATGTCACGTCGCTCGTGTCGCAGTACTGCTGGGTTGACTGGCATCAGAACTGGAGCGTTGCGCACTCGGGCCAACGCGCCGCGCGGTGTCGAGACAAGTACCAAGCGAACGCCGCCAAGTACCTCGAGAGCGTGTTTCGCAACATTGCCTTTGACGCGTGGCACGCGATTCACGGCGACTACTACGACGCATCGATCGCACGACCCATCGCGGCGTCCTCGCTCGATGGCGCCGCTTGGGTCACAGCGATGGCCTCCCACATGTGGCTACCACCCGTCGACGAACTTCACCTCTGGGAAGCCCGGGGCCTGCACCACTTTACACTCGGGTACGCCAACATTGTGCAAGTCGGGCTCCAAGAGACCATCGATGTTATCAACGCACTCGGCCAGCGCCACGCGACGCTCGTTAAGGCCATACCGCTCGTCGAACGTGGGTCGTTTGGCACGTCGATCTACCTCTACGGCGGCCTTTTGTATGACTTTGAAGCGGTGGGGGCCAACGGCAGCATTGTCCGCAACACGTCCACCTTCATGAGCGACCCGGACCACATTCAGTACTACGTTGTAGGGACACCGCTGAGCAGCGCTCAGAGCGCGCTACGATCTCAGATTGGACCATTGGGGTCGATCGACTTGATGTGGGTACCGCCGCCAGTGGCGCTTCTCGCGTCTGTCGAGCTTTTTCGCGTCTCGATCGACGCCAACTTGGCGGCCAATGCAGCGTTCCGCGCGGCGTTTGTCGCCATGGGCGGTCGTACGATTCTGCACCCGACGCCGACGACGTGGCGCAACGACTCACTTCGCTTCTTGGGGGGCAGTCCGCTCTGCGGCCACGGCGCGCCCGTGCCGTTTGTTCAAGAGAGCTTTGGTTTCGACGACGGCTGTGGTACGCAAAAACAGCTCGCACTGCGCTGGACGCCTCTCTCGAGCCTCTTTGCGGCCGTGATGCTACGGAACACGAGTACGGCCGCGCTCTGTGACCTCTGCGACGGTTCCACCTTGGACGCGTGCGCGGCGCAAGTGGTCTTAACGACCGCCGCCATCGCAGCGATACCAGGCTTTGCGATGGCGGCACCGCCCATCGAGGATCTCAACATCTCGCTGTTTCAATACGTGTCGACTGACACGGTGGTCTGGCTCGAGACTCTGCCGATCTTGACACCCGACTTTGCCGTTGCGGGGTGGATGGCGCTCTACGAATGGGCACTTGGGGACCGGGAGGTTGTCTTGTTTGAAGGTGACGTGGACAAGATGACATTGATCTCATCCACGTACACGCCGCTGGCCCGCCCGCCACCGAGCGACCTAGGCAACGCTGGCTTCTATCTCTGGTCGGTGGCTGTCTCTATCTCGGTCGTGTTGACGTTTGTGGCTCTTGTGCTGATTCTGCTCTGGGTGCAGTACCGTCCACTGCATTGTTCGTGGTGGTACTTTCATCGCATCGTTGCGAGTGTATGGCTCTCCAAGACGCTGCTCATGGCGCGCGGCCTCACGGCGGTGCTCTGCCTCGCCACCACCCCGCTCGTCCCGTCGCATGATGACGTCACGTCGTCCCTCTCGCACGTGCCACGTTCGCTGCTCGTGTCGGCCGTGCTCGCGAGCGAAGTCACGTGGACGCTGTACGTGCTCCATGAACTTGCGCATCCGATGACGCAGGCGTACACACGCACGTATGCGCCAATCAACATCGGCCTCGGGTGGCTACTCACGCTGAGTTTTGATTTCTTTGCGCCGCTGGAACACGTTGCCGTTCGCATCCAGCGCAGCTGTCGCCACGTTAGCTTTGGATACGTCATCCAATGTGAGAGCGCGAGCCTTGCGATTGGCTCCAACGCGCGCTGCACAAGCCTCTTGGTGGCCCAACTCATTCTTCTTGTCGTTTGTATGCTCTTTGGGCGAGCACACCGCCGCCGCCATGTGACCTACACCTCCGCTACCGGCACAGCACTCTTGCCCACGATGGCAACGGCGTTTCTTGGGTCGGAGCACGCCTCGGCTGTCGACTTGACGCTCCACAATGTCGTGACAGGCGCCATGTGTGGCCTCTTTAGCTTCACGCAGCGCGGGCAACGACGTGTGTTTGACACCAAGCTCTGGCGGCTCTTTGAGAGCACCAAATTGCAGCGCGGGCCCAGCTTCATGTCGTGCCAGCCCACCAAGCTTGCGTCACTTCCGATGTGGTGCAAGTACCCGACGCTAAACTTACTCTTGGGGTTTGGGTACCTTGCCTTGACGTTGTGCAATAATGCGCTCTACCTCAGCGTCGCGGACGAGACATTTGCCAACGATTTTGGCTGGCGTGGCTTTCGCGCCGATTGCACCTACCCGTATATCGGCAACCTCTTCAACGCGCACCTGCTCACGACCCCGTATATGCGCTTCCAGCTCGACAATGCCTCGCTCGGTGACCTCGTCCAGTCGTACAACACGTCGTCCGCACTGCTGAGCGCGTCTCCGACGGCGCCGCGCCGACAACTCTTTCGCAACACGGATATCACGGATGCTGTCGCCAACCTCCGCCGTATGGATCCGTGTAATTTGCCGTGGATGTTTACGCAATACTGCTGGATCGACCTGCGCCAAACGTGGGCGATGGCGTCGACCGCTGCGCGCCAAGCTCGCTGTGCCTTCCACGCAAACAACGGTGCGCGGTACCTTGAGACCGGCCTTCGCAATCTGCGCGACGTCGACGCCTGGGACGCTTGCTGGGGGCACTCGTTTGCGGTTGGATTTGGCGCGTTTCTTGCTTTCTCGCGCAATGGACAGCAATGGCTCTCAACGACGCTACAGCCATTCAAGGTTTCGATCGACGACGAAGCGGTACACTGGGCAGCACACGGCATTGACTCGTTTGTTCTGCAGTGGCAAAACTACAAAACACTGGGGTTCAACGACGCTCTGACGATCTGGACTGCACTAGGGTTAGGGTACACGCTCCCGCTGAGCGCAATCGAAGGCGTCGACCGACGAGATCAACAAACGTCGTTGCGAATGTACTGGTCATTTGCCGCGGACCTCTGGGCCATTGCTGGCAATGAAACTCGGATTGGCGGCTGTAGTTTGATTCGAAATAGCGCCACGTTTGCATTTGAGAATGGAACGACACCCGAGTCGTTGCTCTTTGAGAACCTGACGCTGGCAGCGCCGCTGTCACCGGGCCTTGCGATGCTCGCGTCGACACTCGGACCGTTTGGCGCTGTTGATATGGTGTACGTCCTGCCGCCACTGCCGTTGCGTACGCTCTACGAAGCGTTCACAGCGCTCCTCTCGCAGTGGATGCAGCTGCCGGATGCTAACACGAGCGTCTTTTCGAATTTACCGGTTCGACCTGCAATTGCCGAAGCGTCATCGAGCCTGCTCTCCGGTCCCGACACGATGCTTGTCGGTGGCAACCTTCTCTGCGGCGACGACTTGCCGCCGTTCAGCTCCCGCAACGGCATCGACTTGGCCTTCTCGGTCGACAACCTCTGCCACGCCGTGTTCCTCGACTACATGCATCCGGGCACGGTTGGGCTCCTCTTTGCCCTCTTTGGCCATTTGAGCACGAGCTACACTGCGAGCAACGTCGTGGCTTTGGAGAGCATTTGCTTCCTGGACGCGTACCGAGGGGTGCATTGCGTCAACGACTACATGGCGCTCGTGTCGTTTTTGACAGACGAGGTGCAACCACCCCCTGCCTTCGTGTCGCTCGCGCTCGACACATTTACTACCGTGCATGCCATGAACATTGAAATGGTCCAGTATCTTTACCGCAACAATAGCGCCAAGTCGCCGCTTGAGCTCTACCGCATCAACCTTATGGATGAAGACGATGTGCCGTGGCGATTCTACGGCTGGTGCTTCCTGTACGAGTGGGTCTCGGGCACCCGCGAAGTCGTCTCGTTCCAAGGCGACGTTGGCACGGTAGCCACCATCTCGGCGCGCGCCAACCCAACGCACTTGTCGCCGGACCCGCTCGTCATTCCAACGTACCTCTCGCTCATGTTTCGCGACAGCCTCGTCGGCATCACAGTGGCGATGATAGCCGTGGCCCTTTTCATTGTACTGTACGCGATCCGGTGCCAAGGTCGCATTGAGGGCTTGAACCTTCTGGAAGTGAACCGGATTGTCGGCATTGTCTGGATCGGGCGCCCATTCCTGCTGCTGCGCGGCATCACAGCCATCATGCTTCTCAATACGAGTCCTCTCTACTTGGAGCAGGCCGGCGGCATCGCGCGCATGGCGACACCGCCGCTGCCGTGGTACAGCACGATCGTGGCGGCCTCCGAGGCGACGTGGCTCGTCTACGTTCTCAACGACCTCTTTAGCTGCGTCACGCGCCAGTATACGACAGTGTATGCCTACAAGAGCACGCTGCTCACGTGGGCAGCCGTCGCAACGTACACCTTTCTTCAGCCCCACATCCACATCGCCGAGATGGCGCGGCACTGCATAGCTGTCGATATGGACGTTGCCCTGCGTTGCACTAGCGGCTATATCGAAATCGGCAACGGCGCTCGCTTTTGGAAGGTCATTGCGATCTGCTGCAGCTCGATCCTTTTGTGTTATGGCGCCGACCGTCTCTCGCAGCCGCGCTTGGCCGACGTCACGGTGCCGTCGCTGCTCCTCAGCGCGCAGAGCGTCTACCTCTTTACGTTTGACCGGTGGATTCACGACGGCGACTACTATTTGGACCGGACCTCGGCCGTCATGGCCGGTCTCGTCAGCGTCGATTGGCGCGGTGCGCTTTTCATTCTCGACATCAAGGCGTGGCGCGTCCATACGGTGCGTCCGCTGTTGTCGCTCGACCTGACTCAGCCATTACGCTTTCAACATGCGATTCCGCTTCATCGCATTGACGTCGAGTAACGAGCAGAAGAGCAAACTCAAAATGGAATTATAAAGCAAACTCGGAAAAGGCTTGCCAATACCTTTGACGAACGGGACTCGAAGGAGGTTCCGACACCACGTTGGCGTCTCAGCATCGCTACGCAGCGCCGCCCGACATGTAAATGTATTATTTCTTAGGAAGCACATCATGACCAGTGTCTCTTGTTCGTTTCGAAGGAGGTCCGTGGTACGACGGGCGAGAAGACAAAGCAACATCTCTTTGCTGTAGCCTTGGTAGCGTCGCTGTAGCAGCGTTCGATGGCTGCGGATGGGTGCATATATTGCTTTACGAATGCACACACAAGTACCGAGGGCTGGGCAGATCGCACGTCGACCACGTAGTCGGTAAAGAGCGGTTGGCTGGGTGAAACTCGATTTGCGCGTGAAACCCACCCGGCGTTTCGAGCCGCAGAAAATACTACCAAAGTTTACACGAGATGCCCCGTGTCTCGCCCGCCCCAGCGCCTCGCGGACCGGACAACGCGATCATTGCACCGTCGTTCGTTGCGGGCTCGAGACCTGACAACGCGATCATCGCACCGTCGTTCATTGCGGGCTCGAGCCAGAAGCACACACCACGATGGAGCACGATGGCAGGCCTCCTGTATATGCTCACGTCGATAGCAGCCACGATCGGCGGGCTCGTTGCGATGGCCGACTACCTCGCCAACGACTTTCTCTGGTTCCAGTTGGACTCGACGGCGCTAGCTCTGGCCAATGTGATCAATCTCCAGCTACCACAGGTGAGCAGCCAAACGACCTTGGATCTCTTCGCACCGTCGTCTGGTCTCTCCAAGCACGACGCTGTTGGCAGCAACAGTGCGTACACGCGCTTTCTGCGGTACGAAGCGCTCACGACACTCCAAGACGCAGTGGACGGGCTACGACATCTCGATTTGGTTTACGTGGCGATGATGGGTGCGCAGTACTGCTGGGTCGACTGGGAACGGCGCTGGGCTATGGCCCACACACTCGCACGCCAAGAGCGCTGCCGCGACCGCTACGGCGCGAATGGCGCCGTGTACCTCGAGTCCGTGCTGCGCAACATTGACTTTAACGCGTGGGTCGACGTCACGCAAGGGTTGTTTACGCAGCGCATCGGGGACGGTGTCGCCGAGTCGTCGGCGGATGGACCCGCCTTTCTCGCATACCTCGCGACGCACCAGATGCTGGATCTGGACAGCGAAGTCCACCTCTGGTTGGACGCGGGTCTGGCTCACTTTGTGATGCAGTACACCAACGCCAACCAGATCGGTCTCCACGACGTTATTCAGATTGAGAACGCGCTCGGTCACGTCATTGCTTTTGAGATCAAGGACATTCCGGTGGCGAGCCGCGGTGTCCGATGGACCACCGACTACATGTACGGCGGGCTCCAGACGGACCTCAACATCCCCAGCGGCAACCAAAGCCTCGTGCAGAACGCCAGCACCTTTGTTGGAGACGTGAGCCCAGGTCTCCTTGAAGCCGTCCTCGTGTGCTGGCCCCTACCTCCGGCATTTCAAGCGCTGCACAACGACATTGGCCCCCTCGACAACATTGATGTGCTCTGGGTCCCCGTGCCGAGCGCAGTGCTCTCGATCGTGCAGACGTTTCGGTCGCTTTTGTTGGCCCACCTCGCGTCCAGCGCAGCGCTAGTGTCGACACTGGATGCCATCGGCACGCTAGAGCTTCACCCGACACCGCTGCAATGGCAAGACCCGAATCTTTTCTTCTACGGCGGCAACCCCACGTGTGGCTTTGGCGTCGGCCTTCCGTTCGTGCAAGAGTCGTTCAGCTTTGACGACTCGTGTGGAACGCAAAAGGCGCTCACGTACTCGCTGTCGCCGATCGCAGGTCTCTTTGCCTGGACGATGCTTGGTGACGTCAACGCCACCGCTTCCATCTGTGCGCTTCTGCCAATCGCCGAGGTGCATGGCTGTGTACAAGCACTGCACACTGTCGAGGCTGCAGTATTACTTGTGCCGTCGCTCTCGGAGCTTGGATTCCCGACGTCGTCGCTTCCGCCACTGCAGCTCATGCAGTTTGTCGGTCGCAATACGTCGCCCGTCATCGAGACGCAGCGCCTCCTCGAGGCTTCGTTTGCGTTGTTTGGCTGGCTGAGCGTTTACGAGTGGGCCATGCAGACGCGCGAGGTCGTTTCCTTCGAAGGCGACGTCGCATCCTGTACACTCATGACATCGGCTGCAACACCAAAGCCCTTGCCTCCGTATGCACTCCCATCGAGTCTGGGGACGTATCTCTGGTACTGCAGTAACGCGGTGACCATGGTCTTGGTGAGCCTGGCACTCTTGCTGCTTTGTCTTTGGTTGTGCTGCCACCGACCATCGCACACGCCATGGCGACACTGGAGCCATCTTGTGAGCGCGACGTGGCTCAACCGCGGGCTCTTGATGGCCCGTGGAGGCGCCGCGCTGCTCTGTTTGTCGTCGGCCGTGCCGCAGTCCGAGGCGACAGCCTTTGGCTCGCAGTTTGATTTGGGCCGCCACCGATCGCTGCTCGCCACGTCCCTCTTGTCCAGCGAAGCGACGTGGATCCTCTCTGTGCTCCATGAGATGGGTCATCCGCTGACGTCACCGTATACCGCGAGCTACGCACGGTATAGTCTGGTGTCCGGGTGGCTCTTTCTCGTGGTTCTGGACATTGCGGCGCCAGTCCAAGTCTCGGTGACTCTGGAGCGTAGCTGCTCGTCTCAAAACATGGACCGGGTGCTCTATTGTACGAGCGGACACATTGTCATCGGTCGCTTTGACCGTGTCTGCACCAACGTCGCAGGGCTCGTCGCCGCAGCGTGTGGCAGCTACCTCGTTGTGCGACTGTGGACCGTATTGAGGGATGCGGAAGAGACGCCGTCGCTCTTGCTCAACTCGGCAGCGATTGCCTTTATGAACCGGAAGGAGCGAGTGCGCGCACCCAACAACGTTGTGACAGCGGCCATGGTCGGCGTCCTTCGCAT